ATACTGAGAGTAATATACTGTTGAAAAAAAAAAATTAAAATATTTAATATTTACGGAGTTATTTCACATAGTAGTTAATTATTAATTGTACTGAAACTTTAAAAGCGCGATTTTATCAAAACTGTATTTTTAAAATTACTCATGTTGTAGCTCTAAAATTTATCGATTAATTTGGATGAAATTTTCTTCTGCTTTTCCCAATATCGTCATCGGAAAAATCTATCTAAAGTTTTAAAAATTTCACATAAATAAACTACTATTTTAGAATGAACAAATGTCGAATGAAATAGTCCAAAATTTATCCTTTTTTCAATGAACTTACTCAGTTTTTAACTGTCTACTTTTGGTAATTATTTATAAGTGGAATCAACCCATGCTAACCCATGCTTTTTTTTTTTTTAAATTGTTCGTTTTTTTATGTACTTTTCAAAAAAAAATATATCAAAAACATCAAAATAAGATAAAATAGAAATTTTATCCATAAACATAAGAGCCAAAATTTTTTCCAACTTTTAAAGGCAAAAAAGCTATCGAAATCTTTATTTTTTTCTTTCACGACATTTTTTATCATAAATACGCCGTAAAAACAAGCAAAATGAGAAAAAAAATTTTAAAATGTTAATTTTTCACCTAGTTATGACCCAAAATGGGGTTGAACCCTTTTTGTAAATAATCAATCTACTTTTTTACTTACAATAAAAAAAAAGTGACATGTTCAGAACTTTTGGACCTTGTCAAACAAAGTTCACATGAAATAATGTCAAAGTTTCAAAATTATATGATTGTTTTATCATCTATAAAAACATCAAAAATTCAACTGTATTGTAGTTCGCTATTTTGATGCAAAAAAGAAAAAAACAGATAGTGGAAGTAGGAAACAAAATTAGTGATGTGATAAATTAAGGTAATTGATCGTTATTATTGTCTAGATGTACTTTTACCAGTAACATTTTGTTCTTCTACAATGTATCTCATTTATAACGTTTGAATTGGATCGTAGGAGCACTAATGCGTTTGATCTATTTTAAAGGATCGTTACTATTTTGTGGGAGTGCCGATAAAACGTGTTCATGTGCGATAAAGAAAGTATATCCTTAAATCGAGATAAGCTAACATCACGTAGACACTGATCACCCGTTGAGTGCATCCAACTTTCCGAGTTTACTTTGTTGAGATTAATCGCCTTGTTTCTCCTGTTCAAGATTGCTTTTCACTTAATTTAGACCCTCTAACTGGTTCACGCTGAACTTATTACCTCAGAAAAAAGCGCCTTCTCTATGTGGGCGTGAGTAACAAGGTCAAAAATGAAAAAATTCCACGAGTCATAATACAAAGCATTAAGGAGTAGTGCTCTGCGATTGAAATATTTTTTTCGCCTCCTCTGCAACTATTTTTATTTTTACACTCTTGTTAGTTCACGTACACCAACATAATTTGTATACCATTAAACACATAATTAAATCAAGATTAATTTTGCAATTTCTAAAAATTTATTTAGTTTAATAGAAACGATAAAATCATTGAAATATGGCTATCTACATCGATGTTGTGCAATTATAATTAATTAAAAACTAGGTGTTTTCTTTGTTATTATTCATAAAATATACGGTAAATTTTGTTCCTAATGCGCATCCGCGTTATAATAAAAATACCGCGAAATATTTGAAGTATAAATTACTTCAATAATTGACAATATTAAATTTTCTTCTTTTTGCACTTAACTCTATCAATTACCAATATTTTTATTTTTTATAATAAATTCAATGAACTTTATAAACCAAATCTCCTTTTTGATTTTTCCAATTTTTAGGCTTGCTAAACCATATCTATACCTTCATTTTTCATTCAAAATCAGTGAAGCTCAAAAATGACATGATAGCTTGGACTAAATTGGGGTTTTGTTACTTTGAACAGCCCTCCGGAGTATTGATCGACACGTAGCCGTCTACCGCATCGGTGTCGAGAGCCGTGACATAAAACAAATATACAGAGGAAATCTCCCTTTGCGAGCGTAACAAAAACGAGTCAAGCCAGTTGATAAAGTGCTTCGTCATAGATTCTGACTGGATTGCGATGATTCGGGCGGTAATCTATTTTCCTCGGTCCATTGCGACAAACATCTTGTTATCAAGATAGTCTTGGACCGGCATCCACCAGACGGGGATGAGAAGACTAATGAGATCAAGAATCCGCTCGGGAGCTAGGGCTAACAAACTGGACCCAGAAAATGAAGAGCCAACGGCAAATTCGATTGATTGCCTGGTAAATTACCGGACCAGAAACAAGTCACTCCGGAAGAAATAAGAATTAGCAGAGGTTGAAAAAATATATTTTATTTACTCAATTAATAACTTGTTTTCTCGAGGAGACAAGCCGAGCCTTTGATGATGGGTTTCAATCGTAGCGGCAATATTGATACCTCCATTAGTATTAGGCCTGCTGTTGGACAGTTGCAAAGCTGAGACATTATAATTCAGCGGCTGAGAATAATTAGATGTTCACACAACTGCCCTAGGAGTTGAATCCCAACTAAATGGTGAGAATGACCGATTGCTCTGAACTCTGAATTCCCGATCGATCTATGTTGGAACCCACTCGGAGAAGAGCCTACACTTTGTCATATGACAGCTGAGAGCAGCCAAGTTGATTGCTGTTGAGAGTACATTTGCGGGTAATATGGACCATGTGCTCGATGACTTTTTGATAGAGAGTCTCTGTCAATAATTTCCGATTTTAATAAGCAAACAGCTGCCTATTTTCTGCTACCTAGTTTGATTTCATCAAAATTTCTTTGAGTTTTTCAACCAATTCAGTGTGTTTCATCTGGAAATTTTTTTGCCAGACAATAGAGAGTGCAGCATTTGTAACTCTGAGAGGAAAGGTCGAACACTCTCAAGCACTCGATCATGGCACGATTTCGATGCTTTGCTTTGTTCGTTGGTAACCGTAACCGTAACCGTTCCAAGTAAAAGTAAAGCTACAGGAGTTCTGTGTCACGATCGATTTCCCAGTCTCTTTTTTGCAGTTTGTCTTGTTTAGCGGACTTTTTTCCAGCTTCAGGATACAATTATAATCTAGTGGTTGTGATACAGCCGTCATTTATTTTATCAACACCAATAAAATAATCCACTTTATAATACATACACTCAAAAGAAAAAAAAAAAAAATAACTTGATTTAAGAGAAATGTTATCTTCAAAATTTCACTTTTGTTACTAGATATTTAGTTTTCTACGTCATTATCATGAATAATGAATTGTGTTAATGGATTCTTCTGTCAAGCTCTAACTAAAGCAAATAAATATTAAAGCTCTTATTTTTCGAGTCATCTATCAAAATACATTAGTTTTTTATATTTTAAAGGCCCTTTCCAAAAATCTGCAATTTTTATAGTTTTTTATACGAAAGCGACGCTTATTACTATATATAATGTAATTTTTCGATTTTTCTTTTTTCTGTGTGCTGAATAAATATTTCTTAATTAAAATACAGTAACAATAATTGCTTTGTCTGACTTTTATTAGTGTCAAAGTGGTTTATATATATTCTTGAGTGTATATCAACTTAATAGAAAAAATTTAAAGTTCGTTGATATTAATATTCAAAAGTCGCTTGAGAGCATTTCAAGAATTTTACTTTAAAAGTCTTAAAAATCGTGAACCCTTAAAATTTTTTTATCGCGCTATTTTTTGGAGCGGATTCTTAAAATATGACAAACTAACAAATATTTATAGGAGACTCAAAAAATAAAAATATCCGGTTTTTTGCACCACTTACCCCTAATGCTTAAATCACTACTTTTCATACACGGATAAAATATTTAACTTGACTCAAGATCAAGAATCTTGAACCAAGAACACCATTTTGAAAAAAATAACACTCGAGTCAAGAAGAACTTTCTTAAATCAAGAAAATTTTCTTGAACCAAGAATTATATTTTGACTCAAGAATTTTTCCTCTTGAATTAAGAAATTCTTTTTCTTCAAAATGGTGTTATTGGTTCAAAATTCTTGCTCTTGAGTAAAGTTAAATTTTTTATCAGTATATTAAATCATATTAGGACATATAAAAATTACATATGAAAATATCATAAAATTTTTTAACGAGAATACATAAGATTATCGTCTCCGGCTCTAAATCAGCGTTCCAGACAAACTGCGTAAATTGAAAAAAAGCAATACAATAAAAAATACGACAAAACATTGAATTCCAACCAATAAATAACATACTTTAAGCGTGTATATAACTGATACCAAAATCGTAGCTCTTCCACTCACGTAAGCGTTTATCGGGCAATAAATCGAGCCAGCTAAAATCTTCTCCGATTTATCGGGGGAAACCTGGCATACGCACCAAGCGCCATACTCCCATTTGCACGTGGTACAACAGAAAAATAAAAAAAAAAGTACAGCAAAGCAAAACAAAATAATAAATAACGAAATATTAAAAAGAAAAACGATCTCTGCGTGGTTGCGATTACGAGGATACCTACCGGCAGCTTCGCTATGATAATAATGATAATGGTACTCCAGGATAATATGAATAATAATATAATCGTTTTGCTGCGAAACGATCGTCCACGTGGGTAGAGGATAATAACCATTGCCGCCAGACGCGTCCAACTAATTATGATGCATCGTATCCTGTATCTACTAATACATATAGATATATGTGTAGATATGGCTAAGTATCTCCTATATTCTATATCGGAGTTGTTAATTTCGCTCCGACATACTTACACTCCGTAGACTCAATCACCGAGTAGCTACTTTGCAAGATCACTCTCACTGGCTATTTTAAAGCCCATCTAAACCTACTTTTCAGTTATTATTATCTTACCGGGGTCTCGGGATTCGTTATTTAACTGCACTTTCAGCCTGTAAAATCACTGATACTGGTTCTCGCATAATAACAATAATCGTTTGCACGTGATTGTACAAGCCCGTTTTTTTATTTTAAGAATCATGATCGATTTAATATTTCTTCTATGAGGATTCATTTATGTATTTATTAGTTTTGGTGATCTTGACTGAAGGATCCATTAACGTTTTCTGTAGCTTGTTCATGAAATTGGCGTTTTGCAAGCAAAAAAAGCGGGAAATTTTGAAAAGTAATACTTGAAGGTACGAGGAAAATAATACTTTACTCAAGAAAAATATTCTTGCTATAAGAACAAAATTATTTTGAAGAAATGCATTTATTAAATTATTTATCGTTTTACTAACTCGTTAGCTTAATTTTATTAGTATAATAAATGATAAGACGGGTTTTTTTTTAAAAGCTTAACTGAAAAAATGACTACACTAATAGACATAATTTTTACCAAAAAATTCAGCGTGTTGGGGAGAAAGTTTTAGTTTATAGGGCATGCTTAATTGCTCATTTGTAATCTGCTTATTTTGGTTTAGAAAATAGTAAGTTTTAATTATAAATTCGTTCATTTGATTATTATTATTATTATTATTATTATTATTATTTACTAATTATTCGAATAAACATTCATTTATTTGATGATATTCCATTTAATATAAAATATAATTTAAATAATTAATAATTTTGAAATTTTTTTAAAAATATTAAGCTAAAAACAAAGCAAGCATTTTCATGAGTTTTTATAGTATTATTTCAATCTTTGGATAAGTTGTCATTAAAATAAACTTAATATATATCTTAAATAATCTATATCTACACTAAAAAATGGCGAGACCTTTTTTATATATGCCTAACCGAACAAAACTATTAAACCAATAGACATCTAATTAATCTCACAAAATTCATCGTTTCTCAGTTAACGTTTTAAGTTGATAATATTATTTTGATATTTTGTTTGTTGAGAAAATATTAACTTTTCATTAAAAATCCTGTATTTAGTACTTTTATTTGAGTAAATAAAACGTAATAATTGTATTGTTGTTTAACTAATTTGACATTCTTCAAGTTGTAATTAAAAAATTATAAACGTCTACAAAAGTCATTAAGAATATTTTTTTACCATTGCGTAGTTTTTTCCGTGTAATTTCTATTTAACGCTATGAAAATGATGATAGTTAATGTTTGTTTGATAAAAAACAATTTATCGGATAGGATAGATGAAGTACTCTGAAATAGGAATAAAATAACGATAAGACGGGTCGTAAATGTTTGAGCGGGTATTTCATTACAGCAGTAAAGCCAAGACTTAGTGGAGGTTCGCGAAACCAGGAAGTTTTAGTTGGGTATTAGAGATATACATTGCGAACGAATGAGAGTGAGTGTCTTACATTAGTAAGTTGGTTGTTGGTTGTTGGTTTCTGGAATATCAACCGGTCCAAGTGTTGAGTCTTTGTCTGTCTTAACCTGCCCCAGAGAGTACAGAAACACCCATCAGACTGAGCTTCTCCCGTAAAAGCAGCCCCAGAAACGGAAACAAGATGAGAATTTAATGCAACCTCCTTTAGTCTACTGCCTATTTGCAGATCGGGAGCTGCTGTAGAGCCTTCACATTAAACCTGCTACCTACTTCTATATTCCTAAATGCAACCAGCAGAGTTATAAAGCTCATTTTCGCGGGTCACATCAACTTAGTAGCTTGTTAATTATAAATTCTTAACATTAACATTTAAAAGTTGAGAATTTTCTTACTGACGGAGAATTCTATTTCAATTTTATTTTTCTACAAATTAAAAACAAAGATTAGCTTAAAAACAAACATAAAGAGAGAGAGCTCCTCAAGCATGTAACCAGAGAGATCCGGGTTCGATTCCCGGCTTAGGATCGATGCCCATATTTAAAAAAAAACATACAATTTTTGTTTCGTTTTTTTTTTTCCAGGCATTTTTACAGTGATGTGCTACAACGTTCTCTGCGACAAGTACGCCACCCGGCAGATGTACGGCTACTGCCCCAGTTGGGCCCTGGAGTGGGAGTACCGCAAGAAGGGAATCCTTGAGGAAATACGTCACTATTCAGCGGATATCATCAGCCTCCAGGAGGTCGAAACGGACCAATTCTACAATTTCTTCCTCCCGGAGTTGAAGCGCGAAGGCTACGACGGAATTTTCTCCCCGAAATCTAGGGCTAAGACCATGGCAGAAAACGATCGGAAGTACGTCGACGGGTGCGCCATCTTTTATAGAACAGCTAAGTAAGTATCATTCACCTCACGATATAAATATTAATTAACTTTATTAACAGTTAATGATCATTTATTTAGACCCATGAATAAAAACTGCGCCATAATTTTACTTTTACACTTTTTACAACCCCATAATTTCAATAAATAATTCCAAAAAATATAAGAAATAAATAATTAATAAAACAATGATTGTTGTAAGTTCTAACATTTTTTTTTGCTCTCAGAAAAAAATTTTAAATAGTTCAATTTGGTTGAATCAAGTGAAATTTAAATAAGACGAGAAAAATTTATTAGTTAAAGAATTTTTTTACTTAAATCAAGAAATGAATATCTTCAAATTAATTTTCTGGTTCAAGAATCTCTAATTTTTTGACAATATTGTACCATGGCAACTACCTTAAAGATTTTTTTACTTAAATTAAGAAGCCGAATTTTCTTGGTTCAAGAATTTTTTTCTTAAATTAAATAAATTTTTTTTCAGTGTGTAATTTTTATTACAAAAGATTATGCCATTAATTGTATATAAATCATCTTCAACGATATTCATTTCACAAAATATTATTAACTGTTAATAAATACTTTTTTTCAAGAAAAAATTTATTAATCGTTAAAAAATGAATAAATTGTTCCCACATACATCAATAAATTTATTAACATTCAATAAATTTTTCTACCAGTGTAATAATAACAATAATTAAATAAGTTTTAAAGTAAAAAAATTAAAAAGTTTCTCCGTACATTTTTCTCAAGCCGGCGCTTCGCCTACAGAATGTAGTTTATTATAAAATAATGAAGGCAAAGAAGGCTGGTTATAGTTATGGTACTAATCAATCGAGGACGAAGACGAAGAGAAGTCTGGATGTCGATGATAGTTTAAGAGATTTGAGCGAGTATTTAATAGCTGAGTCGTAGAGGGACCGTTAGATTAGTGCGGTGAGGTAATGTAGGAGTACAAGTTAGTTTCCAGAGTAACTTTTATATTAGCAGAGTACGTCTGGGCGCTATAGATCACGGTAATGGGCCTAGTCTGATAACCCGAAGCAATAAGACGAGGAAATATCACAAACTGGACTCTTTAATCCTGGCATTTAAAATAAAGTTAAGTTTGCCAGTACACGGGGACATATAAATGCAATCGTGTATAATACACATTCAGACATTAGACATCAGGTGATAAAGTATACAATGGTTAAACTTAATGTGAGTGCTCGAAGGTGCTTGAGACTCTGTCGGAATATTCTTGCGAATCTTGTGTGTATGTAAGAGCGAGCAAGGCTGAAAGAAGAAATGAAATCTAAGGAATGGAAGAAAGGAAAGAGAGAAAAGACGGGGATATGGATGTGAGCAGAGAGAATAAAGTTGATTTTAGTGTCTGTGTGTGTGTGTGTGTTATCAGGACCAGGACGATTCCCGTCTTCTCTCCGGGCGGTACTTTTCTCGTGCAATAAACTTTCAGCAGGGGACTGAAAGAAAAACTCAAGGACAAACTATAAAAACTCTTGGGGGATCCTCACTTGGATGATCTTGCTCTTTCGATGAACAAACTTTTCCTATTTTTCAATGTTTAATTTTCCATTCACAAATCGATCTTTGTTCATAAACTTTCTTTTGGAGATCATTGTCTACAGAGTTAGATTTTTTTTTTACACTCACGGAAAAATGAGAATAATTGTATTCCAATAGTAGAATGTCATTCATTCGGGCCGGCATATTTTTTATACAAATTGTTACAAATAAGAAAACCCAGATTAGTAAATAAAATAAATAATGTAAGAATTTATTTGTAATTATTGATCTACGTTTATGGCAAAATTTTAAAATTTATTACCTAATATTAACTGTGCATCTAGCCTCAAAGTCTGTAAAACTAAAATTTTAGATTACTTACTTGAGCTTAATTTTTAAACCACATCCTAATACTCTTATAAATTGTTTTATTATCTAGTGAATTTTATCTAATTTATTAAGAAAATATCTAAGAATACTCTGAAAATAATCTTAGTTAAATTCTGTGGTTATATCTTACCTTATAAAATTACATATTATCTGTTATGTTAATTCTTACTTTAATTATATCATTTATATTGTATCGACTTAATCTATACACAGATGTGTTCTAAATACTTGCATTTCATGCAATGGAATTCATTTTGCATAAATACTTGTTAATTTGCAGTTACCTTGAGAGGATAAAAATAATTCAATTAATCAATCATTACTATGTTAAATAATAGGAGAAAAAAATTAAATTAAGTAAATAATTTTGAAGAACTTTATCTTCTTGATTAGATTAGAAAAATTTTTAAACTATTAAGGAATTTTTCTCGATTTAAGTAAATTTTACTTGATTCAAAAATTTTTCGTCTTGATTCTAGTAAATTTTTTATTCACTGTAATAAATTAATATTTTTAAATGAGAAATATATTCTACAATTTAATTTATAATTAAATTATATTTTACTTTTTAGCTTTATTTCTTATCAGAAAGTTTTTCAGTCTTTTGATCTACAATTTTTCTTTTTATTTTCTTAATTCTTAAGTGAATTTTTTAAAGAAATTTAATCTAAATACTTCAAAGAAAAAGTAAAATTTTTCCAATAATATTTCCCTTGAACGAAGTAATTTTCTTTCCGTGTACTAAAAATTAGTTCCCCAATAAAAAACTCTCTATACTAATGAAGCATTATAAGTCTCGGAATTGAGTACCAAAACTAATGGAGCAAAATGAGCTTTTAATGACTCGCAGCCATCAAAATAAACAAAACGAATAGGCGCTTAGCTTAAAGCAATCGTCTATCGTCTAGGGTATGTTCATTCTCATTCAATTACATTTACAAATGAAATGGAAATAAAGTAAGAATGAAAATAAGAATGAGAATAATAAAACGGGTGTGTATGTTAGAAAGAGGAAAGGAAGGAAGGAAGGAAGGTAAAGAGGGATGTAAGTCTTGGTAGTCACGGAGAAGCACTTGTACGGTTACGTGCTTCACATGACTAAACGAGATTGTATTCCACATAGTAGGATACGTGATACGCCTGCACTTCTCATCTCTTACAGTTGATGTGGAAACCTCTCGGTACTTTAAAGCATGTGCTCGATAGTGTGGCTATTGAGTGCCAAGATTGACGTCCACATTATCCTTAATATTTTCAACCCCCTTCCCTCTACCTCCGAATTTATTCTATTATAAATTATGGATTATATTAAAAAAAAAACCACCCTTCAATTTTGTTTTTTTTTTTTAGATTCACGCTTATCAAAGAGCACCTCGTGGAATTCAATCAACTCGCGATGGCCAACGCCGAGGGCTCGGACAACATGCTGAACCGCGTTATGCCCCGGGATAATATCGGATTAGCAGCTCTTTTACGGACTACTGAAGCTGCTTGGGACAATGGTGAGTCTATTTTTACCATTAATCAAATTTTATTTTTTAATTTTGAATCTAAATCGGTCGATTAAGGTTAATGTTTTAAGAATTAGATTAAGTTATTAAATTTTTATTTAATAATGACGGATTTGAATGAATATTACACTGACATGGAAACAGAGAGTAATATTCAGAGATTACTCGAACCAAAGCTTAAAATCCACTGATTAATTCAAGAATCTGGCTTGCTGGCATTGTGATTGCGCCATCGCTTCAATTTGATACGTATAATTTAAATCCTCGGTGTCAGGGAACATTATTCGATCTATTTTGAGACAAAGCTTTTAGTGCATTTACGTCACGTCATAATTCACTTCTGTGTAAATATATTGAACATGGTATATATATTACATAGTAATATTGAATTTTAATGGCAAGAATCTTTACTTTTTATTCACACGATTGTTAATTTTTTAATAGTTTATTTAGGTTTGGAAAGTTACTTCTAATTGATTTTTTTTTTAAACAGAGATGAAATAAAATATTTTCATCTTGGTGTTAATTATTATTTAAAAAAATTTTTGTTCTTCAATAAAAAAATAATAAAACTTCGCGGTTTTCTCTCTCTTTTCCCATACCACCTGCGTAAAAATGTCATTTTAAATTGCAATTATCTTTGGTTAGAAGTGGTAAATCGTCTCGAAATTTTAACAGCATGTGCATTATGCATTTAATTATTTATATTATAAATTTGGAAGGTTTCTTGAAATTTTGCTCGCATGACCCAACTACCTTAAGAAGTTTATTTTTACAAACTGTTATGTTTATTATTGTAAATAGAATACTTGAAAACATTTTTTATTTTTTCAATTTTTATACCAAAAAATGAAGGGACTGTAAGACTAAAATAATATGATTATCAAATTTTTTAATACATTTTCTCCAGAAATTTTTGAGAATAAAATTTTTGTCAAAATACTGCATAATTCTTTGAATAATATTATAAATATTCAAATGCAATTATAGATAAATCTAAAAAACTTTTTATAGATAACTTCTTTATCTAAAAAAAAATATTAAATTTTTTTCTTCAAATTTTAATTACAGTTTTATACTAATTTATTCCTATCTCTGATTACTTAGACAAAAAAAAAAGTATTTTAGCGTAAAATTATAATAAATAAATAAATCCGTTAATCCATGTGACGGTTTTTATACGCCTTCCAAGCAGATATTTCATTACTTTGTAGATAATGAATTAACATTACAAATATAATTAAAAAAAAAAAAAAAACATAACTATTTGCAAGTTCCGATAATTTTTAGCACGAGTCTCAATTAACTATCCCGATAAAAAAGAAGCTTTTATTTCTCTCATAATTTTTCCATTAAGTGTAATTGATATTAAATCGTTATCAACTATGTTAATATTATAATAATTTAATATTATCAATTATCTTGTCATAATCTAATAAATAACACAAATAGGAATAATATTTCAAGATCATAACATACACTAAGAGTGTAACAAGAAATAAAAAAATGAATAAATGGCAAACGGAGTAAACCTGTACTATAATCGTGTATCATTTTATCATGAATGCTCTTATTTCGTCAGTAATGAAACGCATCAGGTACTTATACATATTATTACCCACATTCATCCAATAAATATACACTACCATGCCCATGCACACACTTATCATACACATAAATATAAATACATATTTATAACAGATAGCATAACAGAAATTAACGATCTTTGAAATAAATGAGAGGCAAAAGTGCTAAAGGATCCAACGATCATCACTTACTACTCGCGTTTGTGCCTCAGTCCTTTCGTTCATCATCATTATTGTTTTTATTTCAGAATAAATACGCAACATAACATATAAGTTACAATTTTGTACGCCGGGATCCGGATTTTTGTAATTCAACCCAATTAACGCTCGATCGTACATAATTGATGGGGACTGGGATGGAATCGACACGCAATCGTATGATATACTTAGTCGTATTCGTTGTATACATCAACATTATTAATTATATATATAATACCTTTATACGTGGTCTTGGTACTCTTAGTACTCGAGAAAGATCAAGTTCGCCGCAGTTTTATCGAGTATCTATTAAGTCGCGTCTTACACGCGAAAAGTGGCACACTCTCCGCTCCAGTCAATAAATTCACCCCTCAAGATTTGTTATAAATTGAACTTTTATATTCCTGTGTGTATTATATAAACATCTTTCATATATACATTTATATTCATATTTGAATTTATGTCTATCAGTCGAATACGTATTTACTAGGCCCTATTTTGTAAGCTTTAATGTTAACTAAAATTTGTCTAAGGAAAATCGTGTTCATCCAAGCCTAGCAATTTTTAGTATTTTTTTTTGTTTTCAATTTTTCTAAAAAATCAATTTTTTCATCATTTGAAGAAATTTTTTTTATTATCAAAATAATATTTTTCAAAAAAAAAATTTTTTTTTAATTATTTTATTCTTTATAAACGTTAAGGAAAAAAAGTGCCGTTCGGCTTCGCCCGAGATGGAAGGTAGATTTTTATTTTTTGTAACCATAAATAATTACAAAAATCACGATTTTTATGATTTTTGAAATTTGAACAATTTTTATGTGGCTACCATTATTAAACTAATAGACTAATTCTACTCATCTTCGAAATCAATCTAGGTAATCGTCTAAAGAATATGTGTGACAAATTTCATTTAAATCCGTCAAGAAATGTAGGCACAATCGCGACAACATGCTGTTTTCTTACAAATTTCCCAAAAACTAAAAAAAAATTTTAATTTCCATAAAATTACTAAAAACTAGTGTTAGATAAATGTTGTATAGGTCAAATTAAATTTTTGAACTTTACTCGTCTAGTTAAGAAATACTACGACAAAATTTCGAGTAAATTCCGACGACGATCAATGCAAAAGATTGATCTCTATGAAATCTACCTGAAAATATGTAATAGTGTAAAAAATTTATAAATATTATTTTTATGGATTAAAATATCATGATTTATAAATCTAAACAAATATTTTTCTACAAAACTAACAATTTGAAATATTTCTTTTTTTTTTTCTAATTTTTATTTGTTATAAAAAATGTGATTGTTTAAAGAATTCTAAATATTATTTTTGCATTGCAATATTATAAAATGAAGAACAAAATTATCCATTTAAATTCCGCTGACTAAAAAATGAATTTAACATACTTAATACACTATCATTCAGCTCTTAGATCTAAAAATATTATTTTACTGACAAAAGAATAACCCCATAACCAATAAGATACTTTAAAACTATTCTTCACGACGTAGCAAGAAAAATTTGGGCATTAAAATGACCTAAAGCGTCGTAAATTAGATACTAAACTTAGAATTGAATTTTTTTCATTTTCCGGAATGATTTAATGCGGTGCAAGTCTTGGAAACTAAAATAAAGTTCGCCTACTCAATTTAACGAGACTATTAAATAAAATATTAATATTTAATAGTAAATTATGAATAATGAATAATGTTGAATTTGAAAATAAAGAGGATTATTTATTTGTAATAAAATAATATCTCGACAGTAAATGATAGCAACGGTACAATGTTAGCTTTATTACGGAATAAACTGCAGACAATGTTTTACTTGAAAGAGTTTTGAGGATGAAAAACAACAGTTGTTATTGTAGTACCACACCTTGACAAGATTCTACGAGAATTATGTCACTGCGCTCCCATTACTGTATCGTAACGCTCTGAAGACCGTACGGGAAATAAAAAATACCGCGGAATTAACGAGAAGAAGAATAAGAAGAAAATAATACGAGGATGTAAAATAAGAATATAATAATAAGAAGAATGAGAAGAAGCGCCGTAACCCAGACTAAGAACAAGACCAAGAGCAACAAAAAGAAGAGGAGAGTATCGGAGCACCTAATTAATTACCCACTCATGTTGTCGTGGAGATATTTTCCTACTTATCAACATATTTATGAATATTCTTCTTACCAAGAAGAAGAAATGAATAAACACTGCGCCCCTTGATAACCAGCTAGCTTCATATGTCATATCACCCAGTCGATGAAATTTATTATCGTGCTAAATACTCTTTGAAGGAATAAAACGCACCCGGGTAGGAGTGAGTATATCTTGATATTATTAAACGTGACATATTTGACTGCTGGCGAATTTATGACTCTTGGCTTAGCTGTCAAACGAGCAGACAAGGACTGACGGTTGATGGGATCCCTTAGGCATCGCTCTATCGAGCTTTTCATATTACATGTTCGGTGTATGTATATACTTCTATGCTTCTATAGGCAGATACAAAAAAACCTCTATTCACTTTTTTTCATCTCGGATATTTTTTTTAATAATGTTTTTTTGCCATAGACTCGGCCATTCATCTGACCGATAAAAGCTTTCTTGTAAAGCCCACTCTCGTGATATTGATTCACTGTAATTTATGAGAACTGGGCGGTCGATCGTTGGTTCTGCTGGTGTGCTCTCTCAACCTCAACTTTACTTGGAGATACTACTTCGCGACCGGTTGTAATACATTCGTGATATCCATAAAATACTTTGCGTAGTTTATATCTTTTTTATTATTTAAACTACTCCTGATTTATTTATACTGAGGTAGAAGTTGGCCTTAAATTAAATTCACTTTCTCGATTTTCAATTACTTTGAGGTGAGAGTTTACTTACAAGTTTTGCCGAGAAGATAAGTTGGAATTTTTTTTGGTCAATTGGATGATTAATTGAAATTTTGGTTAGGTTTATTTTGAGTTTAGTAAGAGTAAGTAATATTAATTGCGTAAAGATATGAACTTTGAAAATTTCAATTCTTGCAATTTGGAATTGTTAATTTTTATGTCAATAATAAATAGTTATTTTTAAATCAGCGTAAGTGTAAAGTGCAATGGGCATAAAATAGTTTTTTAATTATAAAAAACAAGTTGAGAAATGAAAACAATTAAATAAAAAATGTATACAATGATTTTTTAAGTTCTTAGATATTTTTTATTGTTTATTAATTATGATACTGATTTTAAGAGAAATTTAACAATGTCTCTTAATGGATTTTTGTAGAAAATTTTAAAAATGTGAATGTAATTTTTGTTAAACATTCTTTAGCGTTAATTACTTTGTTAAGAGTAATTAAAAAAAGAATGATATTAAAATGAAGGCGTTTGGTAATTTTAACAATTTTTCGTAAATAATAAATCATGAAAAAAAAATTTGACAAAAAAATCCGCGTCCAAGAATTGTAAAAAAACGTAGAAGACAAATATTTTTTTGACAGTGACATCAAAAGAATCTTCACAATTTTTTAATCTTATTTAACGAATAAATTATTTTTAAAAAATTGCATGTTAAACTTCTTACAATTTCTTCATGCAGAATTTTTTAACGTTAAAGTATCATATTTTTATAAATAATTTATTTATTAATTGAAACCGGTAAGTGCTTAATCTGCAGATTTAATTATAAACATTAAAATTTTTACTAAAGATAAAAAAATTTGTTCAAATTAAAAATTCTAAATTATAAAATTTCATTTTTTCAAAGTTCATATTCATACCTGAATGTCTATATAAATCTGTAAAGAAAATAAACACGGGAATGTCATAATAATTTAGTCTGACAAAATAATTTCAAAGCTTTCAACGAAGATACTTCATGTATAAAAAATAATGAAATTAATTTAGCAGACATTTAATAATTTTTGTGACAAATAAATTATGGCAAAAAAAAAAAAATTGACATGTAGAAATTTTAAAAAACTAAAAATGTCATTTTTTTTAACAAATTGTTTGTTAATAAAAATTAAATAATGTTTAAATTAAGTGACTGCTAACTTTAATGTCATTATGAAATATTAAAAAAAAAAAAACTTCTTCATAATAACTAATAACAATAAATAAAATTGCATATACATACTAATTCGAAAAGCAAACCTGTCGAATGTCATTATCAGTGTCATTGCGTGGCGCACATTTCTGATATAAAATTAACTAACAGCTAAAAACTGTCACCGTGGCGCCACCTGTCGGATTTTTGATCAACTATGATCTAGATTCCCAGAGCGGCAAGCAAGAATTCTTCAGTGATATGGTAATAATAATAATAATAATAACACGTCATTTTCGTCTTGCTGTCAACAAAGTGTATCCGTGAATCTGAGAAAGTGTAACAAAAATTAAGGTGATAAAAAAACTAGTTAAAGTTTATTGAGTACTTGTGAGAAGAAATGTCGAGGTACAACGATCAAGATAACATGTGGGCGCAGCCTCCCCAAGGGCAGTATAATTTCGAACCCTCTGGATTCGGACAACCTAACCAACAATTCGAGTTTCAAAACTACAGCTCCGAGCAACCCAGCGACTTTTCGTACTCGCAACCTTACCTGGACCCGACCCAGAACTCATATGGCGGGGAGATGATGTACCCGAGCGCAGACTTCGGGAAAGGTAATTTTAATTATTAATTATTAATAATTTAGTATGAGCATGAAACTAGCAGACAGTTCATTATTTTTTTACATAAATTCAAATTTTATAAATGCAAAAAAAATATATTTTGAAAATTCCTATTTACATTTCTTCATGATCCTAAAATCAACAGATTTTATTTTTAGAGCATACATTTTATGACACTGAAGTTAGCAGACGTCTAAAAATTTTTGATTTTTTTTTTTTTAAATTAAATTACAACTAAAAAGATATTTCTAAAAAATTGCACTTATAGTTTTTCAAGTTTTTTACATGTGACAATTTTTTTTTTAATTGTTTAATTGAAATTTCTTCAATAAAAAATTTCTAAAAATTTTAAAATATCAGCTAACTTCATTTTCATTACATTTTTTTTAAGAAAGTATTTTTTAAAAATTACATTAATAATTATATAAAATACTGAAGTTAGCCGTCAGCTGTCAATTTTAAAAATTTTTATCACAAATCAATTACAATAAAAAAAAAAATGCTTCTAAAAATTTTCACTTGTAATTTTTATTTATTTTTTTAACAATGAAGTTAATCGTCAGCTGTCAATTTTAAACATTTTTATCACAAATCAATTACAATAAAAAAAAATGCTTCTAAAAATTTTCACATGTCATTTTTATTAATTTTCACATGTAGAACTTTTGAATTAAATTTTTTTTATAATTATTTTATTTTTATAAAATTCTAAAAAAATTTTTTGTCTATCAACTTCAGTCTCATAATTTTATTCAAATTTTTACATGTTAAAAAAATTTATTTAAAATGATTAAATGTCAGTTGATTTAAATTTCATATTTTTTTATATTGAAAATTTGATAATAATAAAATTATTCACAAATTAAAAAAAAAAAATTAACAAACGTCTGCTGGAATCATTCTCATACCTAATGCAATAAAATTTTATTTAAAAAAAATTTACCAATAAAAAATAATTAAAGCTCCAGGATTCACCGAAGAAGAAGACGAACCTCCGCTGCTGGAAGAACTGGGAATAGACCCGGACCGCATAATGCAAAAAACTCTGGCAGTGCTGAACCCGTTCCACCGCCGAGGTCAGACCGACGACGCAAATTACCTTCTTCAGGACTCTGACCTAGCTGGACCGGTAGCTTTCTGCTTGATACTCGCGGGATTTCTTCTTCTGGCGGGATCCAAGGCCCACTTTGGCTACGTCTATGGCCTGGCTTCGACCTCTTGTGTGCTGATGTATCTGCTCCAGTATCTGATGAGCAGCACTGGGAACGTCACTATTTCTTCAGTGGCTTCTGTCCTTGGATACTGCTTGCTACCGGTAGTCGCTCTAGCTGGATTGAGCATCTTTACAAGTCTCCGTGGAGCTCCGGGTCTACTTCTAGCAAGCCTCGCCGTCGCCTGGGCCACTCTGTCCGCGTCCAGACTCTTCTCAGCCATGTCTGGAGAAGAAAAGCAGCGGCTGCTTATTGCTTACCCGTGTCTGCTGCTCTATGGAGTGTTTACTTTAATTGTTATTTTTTAAGATGTTATTGTACTAGGTTTAAATTTATTTTAATAAAGTCATTGTGATTATTATTATTATAATTATAATTGTATTGTAATTATAACCTCATAATATATCCTCTTCATTTTAATTTACTTATTAATTTTTTTTTTATTTTAATTTAAATAATGGTGACTTGTATTTGAAAATTAATTCATTTATTTTTTATAAATTTAGAATAATGATTTTTTTTAATTAATTTTAAGTGTTAAATTTATTCTAAATTTTTAAGCAATTTAATGCTGATATTTGAAAATTTTTTTTTTTAATAATGAATGAAATTTATTTGTAAAATTAATGCATTAATAATTTAAAAGTTGGTTTAAATTTTTCATAAAAATTATTCTTGAATTTAGAATAATTATATCAATTTTGAATAATTAAAAATTATTTTTAAATAAATAAAATTTATTTTAGAAAAATTTAAATGAAAAACTATTTTAAAATTTTAAATTATTTTTATAAATTGATTACATATATTTATTTACATCAGACAAGTAATGACTAATGAAACAATTGATGAGTACCTAAATTTTGTTTGCACTAAATAGGAATACCATCGGATCCAGCACAAATTCAACAGCCGATATTAGTATGCACTGCACATATACACTGGGATCCGGAGTACTGTGATGTTAAATTAATTCAAACAATGATGCTGAGCAATGAATTACGGTCGATGCTGGAACAAGCCAGTCAATCATTTCGCCCTGGTCACAAACCTGACGCTTCTAATGTTCAATTGCTACTATGCGGTGATTTTAATTCTTTGCCCGACTCTGGTAATTATTAATTTTTATTTTGTATTATTTTTTAATAAAAACTCGTACTAATTGATTATTTAATTGTAGGAGTTATTGAGTTTCTTACATCAGGACGCGTCGCTTCAGATCACCGCGACTTCAAAGAACTGACTTACAAATCGTGCTTACAGAAAATATCTGGGTGCGATAAGCCCAATGAGTTTATCCATTCATTCAAGCTCGCTTCTGCTTACAGTGAAGACATTATGCCCTACACTAATTATACGTAAGTATTTTTCTGGGATCACATAATTAATTATTATTATTAAAATAATTATTATGGTCTAATAAATTTTTTTAAATTACAGGTATGATTTCAAGGGTATAATAGACTACATTTTCTATTCGAAATTGAACATGACTCCGTTAGGTATTCTAGGACCATTAAGCGCTGATTGGTTTAGAGAAAATAGTGTTGTAGGATGCCCTCACCCTCATATACCATCAGGTAATTAATATTTATTTATTAATATAATAAAAGCTTAAAACAAAAATGAAATTATTGTAAAAATGTTGAAAACTTGCACGGAAAAAAATTATATGTGAAAATTACAGAAATAGTTGTGCAAAAATTACGCGGCTATTTTTATGTTATATTAAAAAAAATTAACTGTTAAATTAATAGGAATGGATTTGTAAAAATCAAGTATTCAAAAAAAAATTTATAAGTTTAGTACTACATAATTTTATATAGTTTAATATAATGCATTTTTCCAATATAAAATTTAAAAATTTTTTAGTGCTGAATTTACATTTTTTTTCCCATGTAAATCATTTTTCCACACGCTAACTTTACATTTTTATCGGTGTAAATTTAACATATTTTCCACATGCTAAACTTCAATTTTTTTAATGTAAATTAAAAAATTTTTTCCACACTATAAATTTAACATTTTTTCTGTATACTAAATTGAGATTTTTTTAATGTAAATTAAAATTTTTGTTTTACACTAAATACAAATTTTTTCCATGTAAAATTGATATTTTCAAATTAACAATTTTTATAATATAAAACAAAGTTTCTTAAAATGATAATTATGTCTTAACAAGCAAAAAACTGTAAATTAAATAAATTTTTCTGTATATTTTTTCCACGTGAATAGAAATATATATATATATATATATATGTCTCTTAATTTTTCTGTCCTAGTTTCAATATTTTTATAAAAATAAAAAATTATAAATGAAAAAAAAAAAAGAACAATAACTATAAAAAAAATGTGTGTTTCAGATCATTTTCCGTTGCTAGTTGAACTAGAAATGACACCGCAGGGAACTAGCAATGGCTTGATATCACGTAGGTAGCAGCAGCCAACGTAATCTAGGCCAAAATAATAACAGCAACAATGATTAACGATAATAAATAAGGGAATGTTTTAATTAATAACTCAATAGCGTAATGTCCGATAACTCTCTTACATTCTGGCTCTAGAACATTTGCAATTTATCAAATAATAATAATATTAATATTAATTATAATAATAATAATAATAATAATAATAATAATAATAATATTAATGATGAAGATAATAAGTAAAGAATGATTATTAATTGATAAATAAAGTAATAGGTGATGGGAGCAGTTGTAATGCGTTTAGCCCATGTATAGTGTATTGTATTTTAAACTAAGTAACTGACAATTTATTAATTAATCTCAGAATATCATTTAACGTAATTAATTGTCTATAATGATTAATGATATGCGATCAGGTAATTGTAGATACCTATTTTCCTACCAAATAAAAAAAAAAAAAAAGTAAAATAATTAAGAGTTTTAAAAGCAATAAATTCAATTTTTATAATTAATTTACTTTTTCACTTTTGTAAAATGTTAATGCAATATTTTTAATATTTATCCGGCAGTTTTTTACTTTAGTTTTTTTATTACCGTCCATTTGAAAATTTTTTAAGTTAGCTTCAATGTAAATTTATTTTATCTATTGGTATGAACTATTATATAAAAATTAAAATTTTAAATAATTAATTTTTAAATGTAAAAAAATTTTTTTTTTTTTTTGATTGCTATATATTGAAACTCTTGATAAGTAATAAGTAATGAAATAATAATAATAAAGTAAAGTGTAACAAAATATTCCGATCAAACCTCTGTGATATTGAGACTAATTGGAACAATTCACATATTTATTAATAAAATGATCTAGAGTCTACTAGAAATAAAATAACGAAAATTCTACGACTTCCTAAATGTCATTACAACAATTTCCAAGCCAATTTTTTGATAAGAATGCTGCCATCCAATGAAAATTGTATTTTTAAACATTTAAAACACTAAATAATAAATGGAAATATTATTGATAATAATAATAATATTAATATAAATATTGATATTGATAATTATAAAAATAGCGATAATGATAATGATAATTAATAAAAATAACAATAATAATAATGACTATTGATAAATAATTAATAAAAACAAACACGCTATACTGGGCTGTGCGAAATAATTGGAGTTGGCTAAACAATTTCAATTCAAGTACAAATCTGTTCTTATTGGCCACGTATATTCATAATTAATTAATTAATCAATTATCTATCACTGAATAATTAATTAATTAATTAATTAAATAATAAATAAAAATAAATAAACTAATAGATAATTATAGTTATTATAAATAAATACATATATATATAGATATTGTAAGTAATTAATGTTTTATGTTCACGTAATTTATCAATGCATTTTTCATTTTTTATTTATCTAAATATTTATTAGGTATTTTTATTAATTGTATTTTTTATAAGTATTTAATTCTGCTACTTTATCATTCAATTAAATATTTTTTTTACTTGTTTGACTAAACGGGAACAATTATTTCTATGTAAATAAATTTTAAAAATAATATTTGTAACTTATTAATCAATTAATATTTAAATACAACGAATGGAATTTTTTTTATAGATTTATTAAACCGGCAGATTAATTGAATGAAACAAGTAGCGGTTTTACGGAATAATTTGAAATTTCTAGGCTTAATTTAATTCTTTTTTTTTTTCTAAGCAATAATTTTTATAAAATATTTAAGTAATCAATGTTTCTTTTGCAAATCGTGAATTTAAATAATTAATAGTAATTAATATTGTAAAAATAACTAGTTAAACGAATTAGGTGTTCAGAATTTCCATTAAAGTGTCAAGGCAGTAATTTATTATTAATCAACTCGATCTCTGGCCTAATTGAGATGCATCATGTATTGACTCTACAAAGTAAACTCATTTTTCAATATTTTTTTTTTTTATCAGTAATAATAATAATTTATTTAAATTTTTTAACTTCAATAATTCATAAATTATCCAGCACAATTATTTTATTCTAGAATCTCATCCTTTAACTTGTACAATTATTAAATTAATCATTAGATATTTTTAACCAATTGTAAATTTTAAATTATTTCGTTTATTATATTATTATTATTATTATTATTATTATTATTATTATTGATACATAATTAGGTAGAATATAATTAATTAATTGCGCTGATTCTTAATCAAATTAATTTAAATGTCACTTATTTTAAACTATGGGTAATTTATCTAGGCAATTTTATGACGAAAAAATTATAATTACAACAAATATAAATTTCAGTTTTTTTGAGTAAAAAATTTTAGATTAATTGCAATAATATAAATCAAAGCAATTTGGTAATATTTATGTATGAGTTAAATAATTAAGTTGCTTATAATTTTTTCGTCGTAATTTAAAGAAGAAAATTATATCTAATAGTAAAAGTAATTATAAAAAAATAAATAAAATAAATACCGGGTCTCGTGGGCTAATTAAACGAATTAAAAAAGTAAAATATCGCACAATTTGAGATAATTATTACAAATATATAAAGTACATATTTTGCACTTTTTTAATATTTAAGAATTATGTACAATACAAGATGCATCCGATTTAAAATAAGATAATCGCATTTTTTTTAATTAAATGACTGAAAAATAACGAATGCATTTAATTAAAGAAAAAAAAAATAAAATAGTTAACACAATTTAATTATATTTATATATACGTAATTAATTAATTTATATATTACCAAGTGATGTGAGTCATTGAAATTTGTTTTTGATATTGATTTATACATATGTAATAAATACTCGCAAAAAGTGCAAAAGTACAAAAAGCTGTGCGAGACCTGGTTGGATATTGAATAAAAATAAATAAGTTGTAAAGGCATATTATGAAGTAAGAGATTAAAGTCTTATCTAGTAGATTTTTTAATTTTAAATTCAAGGAATTTTTTTTAATTATTTTGTATCATTCAATATCCATTCAGTCAATTGTCTGTACACAAATATTCATAAGTTTAATTTAAAATTCAATAAACTGTATGTGGGCTATTAAGTAATTCATCTATTGTGTGTAATAAAAAAAATAATTGAATTGACTTTTGTTTTATTTATTTACTAGCTGTCACTCGCCCACTCCGCTAAGTGCTTTATAGAATTGCATTTTTAGATCTAGAAATTTAATTAGAGTATTGTTTTGACTTGCACAGATTCTCAATTCTATCGAATTGGCATGCACTTTTTATCCATATAATTATTCTAGCTAATATTCATTGTAACTTTCAATGTGCAATTATAATAACATTCCCGTGTCTTTCTTACAAAAATGAATAATTGATTTGAAAAAAAAAAAAAAAAAAAATAGTATAGATAATAAATTTAAGATAAATTTGAAATTGAAATTAGCAGACATTTTACTATTTTATAATCAATTTATTATTTATTACAAATTATATAATACAAATTTAACGATAAAAAGATTAATTACATTAAATATACTTGAATACCACATCTTCTTTGGTAGGAACCGATTGAAGTTCCAGTTTAACCGGGCACTGAAGCCAGTAGCTAAGAAGTTCTTGGGTAAATCCAGTTAAAAAGTATAATTTTCTAGGCAAAATTTTCCGATCAATGATACCAGCAATCCTAATGATATTATGCTGCCGTTTTATGATTAGTTCAGATACGAAAATGTTGTGAAAGGTACCACCCATGAATCTCCGGATGAATTCATCCTCCACTGCTGTTTCTGCGGGTCTGTTGCCATCCTTGATATTTGCTATTTTATAAAGATTCAAGTTGATAATTAATTAGCAGAATTAGGAAAAATTTTTAACAATTATCTGAGTAAACTTACAGGTATTCCAAACGTTCCAGGATTTTCTCATCACAAGCTGAAACGGTTTTTGCGCCATCTCGTAAGTCAGCGCTCTGGTGCGTCTCATTGTTGGTCTGTAACGACCTGCTCGACATTTTTCAACCGCTGCTGTCACATGAATTGATCTTTGGAGCGTTTTCAGCTGCAGCGCTTTTGACAACTGAAAATTGATTAATAAATAAATAATTGCTAATGTAATTGCATTGCACACGGTTAATAAAAAAAAAAATTAAAGTAGCAGATATTTAATAATTTTTAGAATTTTTTTAAGAAATAAATTAGTGCAAAAAAAATTATTAAAAAAAAATTAAAAATGAAATTTTTTTTTTAAATAAAATTTAAAAATGAAATTTTTTTTTTAAATAAAATTTAAAAATTGTGAAGTGACTGCTAACTTTGATGTCATAAATTATTAAATTATATTCAATTTCTTTTTTTTTTATGATTGATAATTAAAAATTGCAACTAAATCTGATTAAAAATTTGTTTTTAATTTATTTAGTATCGTCATTATTCAAAATACTCCTTATGATTATTACACTTAATTTAATAAACATTTGACAGCAGTTAGAATTTTTGTCAACAATTATTAAAAAAGTTTTTTTTATAATAGATACCAAATTCAATTGGCATCTGATAATTTTTGGAATTAATTTATCAATTAAAATTATTACTCAAAATATTTTCAAAAAAATTGCACTTTTGATATTTAAGTATATATTGACATTAACATCAAATAAATTTATTTTTTAGTTATCAATTAAATAAACAAATTAATCAATTTAAAAAATTGTTTTTATACATACATGATTTAAAATTAAGGCCATCGTTTATTAATTATTGTTTGATAATGTTTATCAAGACACCACACACGAACTATTCTTTGAGGTTATAAATTTTGAAAGTGTTTAAAAGCATGCGCGGCAGCACTGGAGATTATTTATTTTTTATTTTCAGCACAATGATTCATTATTATTATTATTTTCGATAAATAAAATCAGGAACTTTATATTAATATAGACAAATAAAGTAGAAGATTTTTTTTCAATAAATCTCAACTAGTTATCAATTATTAAATGATATGTATTTTTTTTTTTAATTCAAATGTCATTTAAATTCTCCCGCGACTAATTTCCGCGAGTTGAGCGCCCTACCGCGTTCCACGAGCGCATTAAAATCCAACCAGAAAAATTTAGACCTACAGTCGAGCTGGCGGGTGGTTACTCATTATCACAACAAAAAGTTTACGTTTGAGAACGTTGCGCATAACCTCACACTCACACACTAAACACAAACTCAGTCTACGTTTATGTTTGCACGTACAATGTTTACATTCATTTATTCACATTAAATTGCAAGTAAACAGTGTTTTTTATTTAATGCACAGTAACAATAACATCAGTGAATGATTAGTGAAAAATAATTTAATTATTGTCAATTTTTTTCTATAAAAATGACTCAGGAAAACAAGAAAATATCATTTGGCTTTTCCAGACAGTCATCCAGACAGCCTCTTCTTAAAGCTCCAACTGAAGCTAAAGTCAAAGATGGAAAGGATTATATTAAATGCATTGATAACAAGTCAATAAAACTTATCAATGAAACAAAGGTCGTGAATGGTCCGCTGGTTATTCCGCTAATAGAAAGCAGTAATAGTTGGAAAAATAAACTTATAGAAAAATTAAATTCAAAAGATGTAAATACTTCATCAGAATCTTCTAAAAAATTAAATTCTACAGAAGCTTCTTCAAAAAATTTTAATTCTACCTCAGAAAATTCAAATTCTCCAGCTCCAGTATTAAAAAATTCAGTTGCAGCTTCAGATAATTTAAAATCATCATCATCAAAAGAAGAAATAGAAATAATAGATGTAGAAAAAATAGAAAAAGTAGTCGAGGTAATAGAAATTGAAGAAAATGATGAAGAAGAAATGGAAATATCAAATGTAAGTAAATTAAATAAAGTAGAAATTGATGAAAAAGAATGGGACCGTCTGGCTGCTGAAGAAATATTAAAAGACAGCCAGAAAAAAATAAAAGTCGAAAAAGGGAGTGACTTTAAAATAGAAATTTCTGAATCTAACATGTTGTTTGTTGGTGAGGAAGAGTCAACTCTGGATGATTACGAAAGAATTCCAATAGATCAGTTCGGGATGGCGATGCTGCGCGGAATGGGCTGGCATCCTGACAGAGGAATCGGTAAGAAGCCCCAGCTGGTGACTACAGAGGTCCCGCTGTCGCGGCCAAGAGGAATGGGCCTGGGAGCTGACAAGGTGGTTAAAAAACCTTCGAGCTCAGGTGATAGCAAAAAAGAGTTGAAGCTGGAGAAGGGCTGCTTCGTTAAGCTGATCGCGGGCAGGTTGATGGGACACTATGGAGAGGTCAAGGGCTTTGATGAGGACAAAGGCCGAGTTATGGTCAAGCTATCTCTGCTGGATGATGTTCAGACGTTCAGTGAGGTGATGCTTGACCCGGTCTCCAAGGATGAGTTCGATAAGAATTCAAAGGTTATCAATATTTCCAAGTACGAGGAGTACAAGAACAAAACTCAAGACTTGGAGGATGGAAGGAGCAGGGTCAATGGTCATGTTGAGAGGGAGCGCGATGATGATAGGAGAGACGTTTCTTATTCCTCAAGGGACAAGAGGAGAGATCGGGAACGCAGCAGGTCCAAAGAGAGGTCCAGGGGTGGTAAAAATAAATATGAGAGAAGAGATAGGGATAGAAGTAGGTCCAGGGGAAGAGAAAATAAACATGAGAGGAGAGATCGTGGGAGAGACAGGTCTGGGGAGAGACATAAACACAAAAAGTCCAAGCATCACAAAAAACACAGACATTGATTGTTTATTTTTTTTTAAGGTGAATAAATATTACTTTTATTGGATTTTTTTTTTTTTTTTTTTTTTGAATAATTACTTTGAAATTGAAGCGAGGGTTAAAATAATAGTTGGAAATTTAAATTGATTATTTATTATTTTTATTTTTGATTATAATAATCATAAATTGACACTGTACTTAAAGTTTAATAATAATTTTCAATTTATATTTATTGTTCTGGTAATTTATATTTTAGAAATATTTTTTTGAATTCATTGTTTCACATCGTTTAAATTTTTGAAAAATTAATAATTATATTAAATATTGGTTGTAATTATTTGAATAAATTAAAATTCATAAATCATTCTTTAATATCACAATATATAGAGAAAAAAATTGTTTTTAATTTTAGAAAACATTGAACGATAGTTGAATCAAAAAATTTTTTTGTTATTTTTTTAAGTATTTAAAACTTGAATTTTTACTCAAAATTTTAATATTTTTTTTTTTTGATTGTAAGAAATGATTAATAAAATTCAATTAAATTGAAAGAAAAAAATATTTTTTTTTGTTTTTTTTTATTTTATATTTTTATGTAATATTATACACCATACAGATAAATGTAATACAAAATTATTGAGAAACTTAACTAAGTTATTTAAATAAAACAAAATGTATCTAATTTAAAGAAAACTTTGATACCTTTTATATTTTATAAAAATTTTATTTTATTTAATTTTTCAGGCACAACAATTCTCAAGGAAGTGACAATTAAAGAAAAAGAAGATTTTATCATTAATGATAAAAATTCACAGACTACAATCTCAAGAAAGATTTTTGTGATTAAAAAATTTTAATATTAAGAAAGAAAAAACATAAAATAACTTAATTATTAACGATCAATATTTTTTATACAATTTAATATTAAAGAAATTTTTGATGTTTTTGGTGTTGATTAAAAGTGTGTAAAAAATGTAAATACTGCCGATACAATTATAAATTTAAGTAATAAATAAGTTAAGTTAAAATACACAGAAGACAAATTTTAAAATTTTTGTATTTTAAAATAACAATACAATAGTAAGGTAAGAGCCCCAGTAGCTGCCCATGAATCAGTGCCTGCTCACTCTATGTATTTGTATATCTGCATTTGTAAATATAGATACTGGTTCCTGAGCAAATACTAGGGCTTTTACATTGTGAGAACGTATAAAAATTTTGGAGTAAAATCTATCACAGATCATCTTACTTTAGAGACTTTTATTGGTAATTAAAAAATACTTTTAGCTCTTTCAGCTTAATTATTTATTTTTATGAATAATTTATCTTTTTGTTATTTAAAACTCAAAATTGTAAAGTCTTAATATTATGACACTGAAGTTGACAGACATAAGAAATTTTTTTAGAACTTTATAACAATTAAATTATTATAAAAAAAAAACTTAATTAAAAAATTCCACATGTAAAAATTATTAAAAATTACAAGTGAAAATTTTTAGAATAATTTTTTTATTGTTATTGATTTATTAAAAAAAATTTTTAAAATTAACAGCTGACGGCTAATTTCAGTATTATTTAATATTGTAAAAAATGAAAATATTACATACATCCATTTTGCTAATTTATCAACTAGAAAACACAAAAGTATTAAAACAGAGACAGATAGTAAAATGTAATAAATAAGATTTTAAATGCACAACTTTAGGGATAATGATAAAAGTGATGAAGAAAAATGAAGGACCCTCTTAGTGACGGTAATGAAAGAGCAGTAAATTATTAGTCATAAAATATTAGAACAGATTTATCAAAATTCTTCACGGTGATTAGAGTATTTATTCAAATAAATATTGAATTAACTAGTTTTTACTGAAAAAATTATTAAATTACACTTATAATCAATTAATATTAAATTTAAATTACTATTGAAGAAATCACAAGAGTCATTTAATGAAAAAATCTTTGTCTTCATAGATTAATTAGTTTTTAACGTTTTTAAGTTCATGTCATTGTGAAGTCATCAAATAAACTTCTTCATGTAAAATGTCCATAGAGTAGACTAGACCTATTGATTAAACGACTAAAGGAACATTAGATACGGTAAGTTAAAAATTTATGATGAAACTACAAAATTTTCCAAACATTCCCCTTCTCTTTCTCTTTCTTGAAAACCGGATTTGAACCAATCAGAAAATTTTCCGAGGTCACTGCCCTTGCCATTGTAAACTCTTGACTTGGTCATTCCAGTCAGTTATTGTTATCACTCGGTCTTGAATACTTCATAGCTTCAACCCGGAATAAAACTTATAAAAATATATTTATATTATATAGTAGAAGCAGTAAGCAGTAAGCGTTAAAGTGATAGTAAAAGTATTTTTTATTTTATTAACATATTACTTAGTACAGAAATAAAAAAAAAAATAATGGAATCAGTTCAAGAATTGTGTTTGGGCGGGTGCGGATTTTTCGGGTCACCAGCTAATGAAGGACGTTGTTCTGTTTGTTACAAAGAACATATCCTGAAGAAACAATTATCTTCCTTACCTAAACCAACTGCTGCAAGTTCAAATCCCGAGTTATCTTCATCTTCATCTTCATCTTTGTCTTTATCTCAATTGGCTGCGAGTTGTTCAGAAGCTTTGAGTGACGTTGCAGAGCCTGAAACTGAAACTTCGGAGCCAGAAAAATCGAAGAAGAGAAATCGGTGCTTTACCTGTCGGAAGAAAATTGGTCTAACCGGGTTTGATTGTCGCTGTGGTGGAGTTTTTTGCGGTCTTCATCGGTACAGCGATATGCATGCTTGCAATTTTGATTACAAGAAGATGGCCGCTGAAGAAATTCGCAGAAAAAACCCAGTTATTATTGGTACAAAAATTAAAAAAATTTGAAATATTTATTATGAAAAAATTTTAACTTTAAAGTACTTTTAGTCATAAAAATAATTATTTTAAATTGACAATAATTTGAAAAGATGATTTTAAATTTTTGATTATGTATATTTTTATATGTTAAAAAGTTTTTGAATTATTTGTTTAAGCTGAGTAAATAATATAAGTTATTTTATAGTGATTTTAAAATGTGAAAAAGTGATAATAAAAAGAATTTTAAAAAATTTACTTTGTCTATAAAAAATTATTTATTAAAAATTAATTATCAAAATAGTAATTTATGTATTGTTTTTTTAAGACAATGTCTTTCCTTTCCCAACATATGTAAAGATAAGATAATAAATAAATAAAAAAAAAAAAAAATTGACTGATATTTAAAAAAAAAACTTGGAAAATATTTTTATAGAAGTGTTTATTTTATTAGTCGAACGGTAGTAGATATTTAAATGATAAACTTTTTTATTTAAATAACTACTATTAGAATAACAATAGAAAATTAGTGTTGTAATTGTATTTCGAATGACAAGTACGTGAGACAAATGGTCGCAGGACTAATATTTAAATGGTCGCAGGACTAAAAGTCCCCTAGCAGCCAAGACTCAATATTTGTTTTTACAGAGTGTACATTTAAAATGAGTAAAGAAAAGAAGTAATATATAATATAATAAAAAGTAATAATGATGATCATAAAAATAAGAATAATAATAATTGTAATATGGTCTCTCTCAAGCCAATTGCAAAATTGCAAAATTACAAAAGTAAACAAGAACTCAAAAAAGTAAAATAAATATAAATTTTTATAGTTTTTCATAAATTGATTAAAAATCCAGTGACTGAGTCGTAGAATCACTAGGTTTGATACAGTAGCGCATTAAGTTCTGTTCGTTCAATATCTTGCAGGTAATTGAAACATTTGGTTTAAAACTCCGCCAGGGTCGCCGCAGTGGTGATAGTTGGGGGTAATGAATTCCAGAAATTCGTCCCCAAGACCAGGAACGAGTGTTGATAAATGATATAATAAAACTTAATAAGAAATAATTAAAAATGATGAATGAAAAAAATTTGATGTTTTAAATAATATCTATTATAATAAAGAAAAAAAAAAAAAAGGATATAAATGTATCCTCACAATATCGGCAAAAACATCATTAGTTAACAAAATACATTATCATTCGTTAATTATTAACATTTTCCTAAATATAAGTCCATTATGATTTTATACTCATCGAGACCTTTCATTCGAGTACCCACATGAATTTTTTCATATATCTTATATATATGATATTTATAAAATATATGAAAAGTGCATGTGGGTACTCAAGGTCAACAACAATTTATGGATAAAAAATCTATTAAATAAACATTTTCCCGTGGACTGAATTGTGAATCTAAACCATTCTGGAATCCATCGGACACAAAAAAATTCATTAAAATTGGTCCAGCCGTTTAGGAGAAGTTCAGTGACAAACACACGCACAGAAGATAAAGTAAATCAAATATCTTCATAATTATTCATAGTATAAAAAAAAAAAAAAAAGTTTGTTTTTATATAAAAAATTATGAATGACAGGAAAATGTATTGTATATAGTGAACAAGCCTTACCGGGCCTACGCGCAGGTGTCTACAAACACCTCTGTAGGGACATGCATTTTATATTTCTACGATGTAATATGTATGTATATATGTTTTGTATCCTGGTATAAATAAATAAATAAATAAAAAAAATAAAATTAATAAATAATTAATGAGTGAAGGATGACACGCAAAAACGTGAAGCGTTCCACATTTTTAACAAATATAAATAATGCTGTGAAGCGGGAAAGAATAGGAGTTACGGTAATTATTACGTGAAGCGTTCCAACATTCACGTAACAGGATAATTGGTAGGAAAGGATTGAGAAAGGATTGTGGAGAGGATCATCTTTATTACTAAGTATCTGATAATAATAATAATAATAATCACTCTAATATTAGTATTAAAATTCAGTTTATATAGAGCCAAATATTAATTCAAGTATTGAACACTGTCAAAATTTTCAACTTTGTAAAATCAAGTAGCCCTGTCATTGGCCCTTTGGGCTGTTGGGCTTATGTAATGGAAATAAATAAATAAATAAATAAATAATATACATACATACAACATCATGGGGGTAGTCAGGGAAACTTCCTATGACCTTAAAATGTCGAGATCTGATAAAAACTCAATTTTTGCAAAACGGGGTAAAACCAATAACTTGCCAATTTTCTTAGCGAGAAGTTATAAAAAAAATTTTCTTTTTTTTATCGCTTTATATTAGAAAAAAGAATTGGTTATAAGTTATAATATAGTTCATTGATACAAACATAATTAAAACATGGATCAGAAGATAAAATGCAGTCTAATAATTGCGGGCGCGATCGTTATAGCAGGCACTGCGATTTGGTGTATATGGTCACTGTTGAAAGAAGATCCAGAAACGAAAAGAAAGTTGAGGAAGGAACTTAATGAAATCGTTGAGAAAGCTTCAGCTCTTGCAGTGGATACATTCATTACTACAAAATCAAATGAGTTTATAAACGATAAATCACTATTTGAAGTAATGATATTAGGCGTATCAGTATTCATTTATGAAAACGATATAAGAACCGAAAAAGACAATTTAAAGAGGAATCGTAGCAACACGAATCAAGCTATGATTGACAGAGTTGAGGATACAGTAGCCTACAACAAAGCTTATGCCAAAGCTAATGACGCGATAGTAAAAAAAGCGAAGGAAATCGCTGAAGAACTAATATCGATAAAAATTAGGGAGAAGGTAAGTTGGCAGAGTGAAAAAGCGGCGAAATCTGCTACAGATGATGCCGTCTATAAATTAGTTGAACAAGGATCAAGCGTTGAGAAAACTGCCAAGGATGAAATCAGTAAAAATGCTAAAAAAGCAGCTGAGAAAGTAGTGAAAAGGATTATTAGTGATACAGTGTTGTCTACTATTAAAAGTGCCGTCCAAACTGAGGGTTATATAGCTCTTCAATGCAAATTAGACGACATAAAAATCCAAATTATACACGATGTTATCCTAAATGAAGCCAATTTGGGAAAATAAAATTAACCTTTTGTGATATCGAAAATAATTAAACAGAATATTGTTACATTTACACGATATTTATTAAAATAGAGAACGGTTATAAAATAGAATTTATATATAAATATTTATTAGAATTCTGAAGCAGGATCGAAAGTTCAATAGGCATACTAATTTCTAACTAAAAATTAATTCATATTTGTGTCAAAATATTAATTTCAATCTTAATAGTATATTACATACCTAGGCCAGTAAAATAAGAAAAGTCTCAGACCACATGTAATTCCACATAAACAATAATATATCGTAAATGTAAGCAAAACTAGTAACAACATATAAACAAAAAGCAAATATCGTACATACCAAAACATACAATATTAACATCGTCTACGTTGTTAATGTCTTGCCACATTATTGTTGCTTATAACGGTTTGTTTTCTTACATGTACCGTATTATTGTTTATAGAGCGCCTGAGGAAGAAATAATTAATTGCAAAACGTTGGGTTAAACAAAAGTATTAACTTTTAAGTATTTAACTCTGAAGAGCAAATAATATTTATAATCAAGGAGTTGATACACTAACATGAAATTTTATTTTTTTATAATACTCACCTGAGTAAAAAAAATTACATAAAATTATATATGAATTATATATAATTTTATATAATCATAACGAAACGTCATAAGAATTTTTTAAAATCTAACATTATCTTATGCCCAACTTCCTGATATTTATTCCAATTTAAATAAACATGAACGATACTAACATCATAGTCTGTTAAATAATCAAATTTTGCTCTAATATAAATTCACATCACTATTATAAAAAAATATCATTTTTCCTGGATCTCTACGCTACTAAATAAATGACTAAGACACAAAAATTTCAGTTTACAAAAGTTTTAATTTTCTTTAAGAATAGTTAACAGTGTTTGTTTGTTACAGTGGTTGCTTCATTTGTTATCAATATCATAAATAAAATTAATAATTAACTGTAGTAGTCGATAGTACGTAAAACTAATAATTAATAATAACAATTAAAAAAAAATTAAACGGATATTTATATTCCAATGACATTTACGAAATTATCCAAATAATTTGATTCGACGTCAGTGAAAAGAAGAAAACTCAATAATAATATTATTATTATTTATTAAATCTCCACAATCATTTCACTTTTATTTTCTTCAATAAACTCGATCGCTTTAGATTATTATCCATTTATCAATTACAAATAGATCGAAGAAGAATCTTTTCTATAATATTTTATAATTACGAAGAGTGCATATTTTAAGTTACGATACAATTTTATATACATTTCATTGTTACAAACAAAAGTATTTTCTTTTTATCATTTATATTTATTATTTAATTAATCACTTATAATTATAATTATTATTAATTTTTGTTATCATTATTATGATATTAATATAATACAATGTTATTACCATTTTTTAAAAATAATTTTTTATAATTCGGGACGCTCAAAACTATTCAATGATTGTTTTAATTTTTCTTCGCTAAATTAATCACTTTTAATTAACAATAATATTTTAATAAATGATTATTAGATTATAATTATAATAATTATCGAAGAACACATTAATTTGATTTTTAATTCAATTAAAACATTTATTAAAATACTATCGTTTGACAGAAAACGAATTAATTATTATTGTAATTGATTATTTTGTGGGAAGAAATGAATTGAAAATAATTATTACAAGAATTAATGAAACAAAGTAAAATTTTGACAATTAATGTTATAAAATAATGAATTGTTGATAAGTTTGTGCAGTCCCATATTTATTTTTTACTGATTCCAAAAATATTTTGGAATTATTTTGGCAAAATTACTGGATTAATTTGTCTATAAACAATGCAAGATTGTCTTCTAACCTACAATCGCATTAACCTTGATTTTATGATACTGAAATTAGCAGACGAGAAATTTCTTTTTTAATAAATTTATCATCAAAAAAATAAAGTTTAAATTTTATTAAAATTCACACCTGAATTTTATTTTCTTCACAACAAATTCATTAATTTAAAAAAATCCACCGATGTCTGATAATTTTAGTTTTATTTCACTTTTATACAGAAAGAGTTTTAATTATTAATTAATATTAATTTGATATAATTGATTTTTATATTACTCGCCGATTATATATTTGTATTTAATTATTTAAAAATAATTTTGATAAATTTTAATTTGACTCCTTGAGAAGTAAACAAGAACTCAAATACCGAAGTTATGAATCTAACATCAGCAGACATCTGACAATTTTTTTTTATTTTAATTAAAAAAAAAATAATTACTCAGAAAATATTTTTAAAAAATTCCATTAGTAGTTTTTTTTTTTTTTTTTAATCACGAGAGAAATTTTCTAAAAAGTTTTCTTCACATTTAATTTTCAAAAAAAAAAATCCTAAAAATCGTCTGATGTCTGTTAGATTCAATATCATGAAAGGTTAATTACTTCTAAAAAAAAATTTCAGCGATAAAAAATTGTAGAACTCATTTCCAACGTTAGTTTCCTTAATGTATTTTTTGTTAATTAATCTTCATGGTTTTTATTTTTAGTTTTTTTTTTTGTACACAAAATACCAACTTTGCGTGCCGGAATTGCACGTTAATCTACAATATATAATTCAGTATTTTTATCAATACATATTAAATATATTAATAAGCTATTATTCAGTATCTACGTATAGTGGTGTAATAATTAATTACTTTTATGATTTATAAAGAAAAAAATAAGAGAACACTGTTAGTAATAATTTACTATTATTTTTAAGCTCCGAGGTTGCTGGCTTTTTTCACCATACTCCAGTTGCAAAAGCTTTAATTACCAACTGCGCAAACAAAAACGAGCTCTTGGCAAGTAATCTCGTTTGTACTTTTTTTAAACGACCTTTATTAATTCTGTTTAATATATTCAAAAAAATCCTTTGAAGTTTTCAGTCAACACAAACTCAAAGTCGAACTGAAAAAAAAATTAGCATAGACGAATATTTAAATCGATTTTATCCTTGCGGCCTTCATTCATTCGGAAAATTTTTTTATTTTAAAAAATCAATTATTATCTTCAGTAAAACTAAGAAAATTTTTTCCCTACACGGAAAGAACAAGATGACACTGAATGCCATCTCAGATTATACTCAGTGACATCAGAGGCGAAAAAAAATTTCAGATGGTAGCTAGTATAATCCAGATTATACTGAATAATATCGGGATTATACTCATTGTAATCTGTATTATACTCATTGTTATCTGGATTATACTAGCTACTATCTGAAATTGTTTTTCACTCAGTATAATCTGGGATTATATCCAGTATAATCTTGTTCTTTCCGTGTAGTTACAAATAAAACAAAAGAATTAATTAATAATTTTGATAATATCTAACTTCTACAATAATTATCACATTCTCAACCACATTTAATTAAAAGCTTTAAAAAATATTTAATTCCTAAAAAAATAACCAACCAAAATTAAACCTAGTTTTACATTTTATTCATATAAACAATATATATAGCGAGTATTTTACATGAATAAAACAAAATCAATAATCAGCGTAAATTATTATTGCGCATTTAATTCTAGTAATTTTTAATTTTTCATCTAAATATGTTTTATTATTTATAATATGTACAAGAAAAATTAATTGGCTATAATTATTACATTTTTATTTATATTTATATTCATATTTATATTTTTATATATATATATTTATAATGCTCCACAAGTTGCACGTTCATCGCAATTAAAAACTCGGTCATTAATCATTTCATTACATTATCAAATAATCGTATTTTTTTATACTCATCTCACTGCTTCATTTAACTGCTAATTAATCATTTTATTTTATTCGTTTATGTTTTGTTTTTCTTATTTATTATTCATTAATAATTATTTATTATCATTATACTGAAAGAAGCAATTGCGTACAAAGTTAATCAACTACACAGTAGTCGTGATATTTTGACCATTTGAACGAGAGACAATTGTTTTTTCAATAAAACTACCAGAATAAATCTATTTATTGCTCATTAAGACAATGCAATTAATTCATTAATTATAAATACAATAATTAGAATTATTATCATCATTGTTATCATTTATAATAAATTAATTTTTTAATTATTGGCACCACATAATTTTTTAACTTCAATGCGGAAATTTTATCCAAATTAAGTAGAAAATTATTATAATCAATTATGTATTTTTTTTTTTTTTAATTATTGAAGGGAATTTAATTATTTTATTGTTAGAGATCTTTAAAATAATTATGAAGAAATATTTAATAACAATTGACAATTTTCAACATTTTTATAAGCTTATTCTTATGTAAAATTTTGAGAAGAAATGTAAGATAGGTTAACTATATCTAACCTAAAAGAAGAATTTTCCTAACCAAATTTCGGAACAATTAATTACAGTTTTAAAATTATTTATTACATACATTAATAATGAAAATTAATTTAGCAGGTATTTTATAATTTTTTTAATAAATAAATTAAGGCAAAAAAAAATTGGCATGAAGAAATTTTTAAAAATTAAAATCCAATTTTTTAAAATAATTTTTTTGCCATAATTTATTTGTTAAAAAAAATTTTTTAAATGGTCAAGTGACTGCTAACTTTAATGCCATACATTAATAATTAAACTCAATAAAATTTTACGTATATATTTTTCTTATTACACTTAATTTTAATAAACACAATATTTTATATAAAATGTACTTAACTTGATATTGAATAATAAAAAAAAAATTTTTTTAGTCTTATTAAATATGTCTCGAAAAATTTCAAACTCTTAAGATATGAATTATAATAATTAACAATTACAGCAACAATAACATTGACTATAATAATTTTCTACCGAAACATTAAATTGAAATGAAGGAGCTAGTGTCTTTTCATCAGTTAATTTTTCATAAATTCCCACAAAACTATCCTGTTTAATAAAATAGAATCGACGATCGTTAACCTATAGCTCACGTCCAAAGATCACATGCAATTATCAATAAAATTTATCGTTAAGTATAATATAGTTGGCTGCACAAACAAAGCATTTTATTATTTTTTGTATTTTCTTTTATAAATATTTAGTCTTGTAAAACTTTTAATCGCTAATTTATTAAATTCATTTATTTAATTTTTTTTTTTTTTTTTTTAGTTAAATTTCAATAATAGTTAACGCCGTTTTTAATTATTGTTTCTTTTTAAAAATTACAACTACGATAACATGCTAGTTTTGACTTAAAATAGTCAAAAGCAACTTTACTATTTTTTTTTGTTTATATTTTCAATTAATAATTAATATTTAGAAAAATTACAAATTAAAAATAAAGAGTAACGTTTAGTTTTAATTTTATTACTTAAAAATTATTTTTACATTTATCTGTTAATCATTTTTAATTAATGAGATGAGTATTAAAAATGAATGATGATTGTGATTATTTAATTAAAAAATATTTAATAATTAAAAATAATGTTTCAATTATTTTAATAGTTATTATAATTAATTAATAATAATAAACTTATTAATAACTGATACTGTACAAATTTTTCATTGCACAATGCATCGATTTATTTTGTTCATTTTATTATTTCGTAATAATTATCTTACGTTTTCATTTTTCAAGATAGCTGCAGGTTACGGTGTTACCCGATGAGATAAAAAATAATAATTACAATTATTACATAATCTTACATAAATAATAATACAAATTGTTATTAATAAATAATAGTAATAATAATAATAATAATAATAATAATAATAGTAGTAGTAATTGATTGATTAATAAATTTATCGATGCCTGAGTATATTGTCGAGTATCGAGTTTAAAAATGAATTAAAAAACATAATTATTGTAAAATTTTCTCATCTAATAAAATATTAAAAAAGATGTATTAAAATAATAATTAATACATTTTGATTGTTTCAATTTAAATACTTTTATAATTTCATTAATTATTAATTATTAATGTTAATATAAAATGAAAATGACATTAATTAAAAATATAATAATAAAAAATAAATCGGGTAACACAATTAAGCTAACTTGATTATAAATAAAAATTTATTTCACTTACACGCGGACTCGACTATTACTTTATTTAAATATTAATAAAAATAAATAAACCTGATTAAATTTAGGTTTGAAAATGATCTGAGCTTGTAGTTAATAAAATTGAACTAATTAACAAAGTATAAGATAAATAATTAATGGTGTCGCGACGACATTGGAATGAAGAAAAGATGGCTAGGATAATTAAATTGCATATTATTTAATATTATTTTTTAAGCGAAGTAAATATTAAGATGGATGCTTCATTGACGACTAGTCGAGAGGACGTGTGTAAACGAGCCTTGAAAATAATTGTCGGATGATTAGCAGCTTCAGACACAGCAAGGTTGCCGATCATCCTATCACAATCTTCTTCTTTAGACACAGTAAGCAAGAGACGTTTTATATTATGTGAGTAACATTCAACATCTCTTCGGTAACAATGTCGAAAATCCTGATTAAACAGAATTTTATCTGTTTTCATTTTTTGTTTTCTTCTTTATAATTATCGTCTAGATTAGCCGCGAAGTTTTGTCGCACAATCACGATACCACAACGCGTTAAGGTTTACCGCACTACACTCTAGCACCTCTACACATTGCGATTGTCATGGTCTGTGGAATCTGTAAAAATAAATATTTTTAATTACTATTAATAATTATAAGTACAATTTATAAATAGATAAAATTTTACTTTATTAAATAATGACTTTTGTTAAATTGCACTTTACTTTCTTAAATATCAACGTTTTTAAAGATAGAAGCTCATCCCAATGTTACACTCATCAAGAGCTTTCATTTGAGTACCCACATGCATTTTGCATATATTTATATATATCATATATATGTATATATGAAAAATATATCAAAATCCATGT